AATTTGAGCTTTTCCACTGCTGTTAATACATAAAAACCGGCTCGGCGCCTGTGGCTCAAGCGGCTAAGGCGCCAGCCACATACACCTCGAATCCCCAGCCCGGACCCGCCAAACAACAACGATGGCTGCAACCAAAAAATGGCCAGGCGTCGTGGCGGGCGCCTATAGTCCCAGCTACTTGGGAGGCTGAGGCAGGAGACTCGCTTGAGCCCAGGAGTTGGAGGCTGCTGTGAGCGTGATGCCATGGCACTCTACCCAGGGGGACAGCTTGAGGCTCCGTCTCAAAAAAAAAAAAAAAAAATACATAAAAACCATAGGCCAGATGTCTGGGAGACAACTGGGAACACAGCGAAAAGGGGCACAGAGTGAAAGGCGATGCACACCCCAATAAGTTAGGAGCATGCCTAGTGTACACCCCAACATATAAGAGCAGAAGGCAGGAGTGTGAGAGTCTGGTTTAGTCTTCAGGTTGGGGTGGGCTCCCCAGGACAGGACAGCTTATGGTTGGGAGCCAAGAGAACTGTGGAGAACCTGGCAAAAGGGCATCCTGAAATACTTCCCCACCCCTCCTCACATAACAAAGAGAAAGCAACCATCTACTATTGCCCAGAATATGAGGAGTAGATCAGAGGAGTCATTTGCTTAAAGGGTTGCTCTCTCTAGTGATAATGTGACATCATGGGGGATCCTAAGAGTTCCAATCACAAAGGGCAAGTCAGTCCATTTGTAAGACCCTTCCTCCTTCTTTACACACAATAGGCATTCATTATGAAATCTAAAGAAATACATTTTAGGCTCGGTACCCATAGCACAGTGGTTATGGTACCAGCCACGTGTACTGAGGTTGGTGGGTTCGAACCCAGCCCGTGTCAGCTAAACAACAATAACTGCAACCAAAAAACAGCTGTGCATTGTGGTGGGTGCCTGTAGTTCCAGCTACTTGGGAAGCTAAGACAAGAGAATTGCTTGAGCCCAAGAGTTTGAGGTTGCTGTGAGCTGTGACGTCACAGCCTTCTACTGAGGGCAACATAGTGAGACTCCGCTCGAATAAATAAATAAAAAAAGAAATGCATTTTAAAAGCGAGGCCTGGGGGGTGGCGCCTGTGGCTTAAAGGAGTAGGGCGCTGGCCCCATATGCTGGAGGTGGCGGGTTCAAACCCAGCCCCGGCCAAAAACTACAAAAAAAAAAAAGTGAGGCCTATAAGATTGGCCAGCTGCCCCCCCCCCTATTTTTATAGTTAAGAAAAATAAGAAAGATCTAAATTTTTAACCATTTACGGACAAATGGGTACATATAAAAGGGTATTTGGTGAAAAGTAACACTCCCAACTCCTGCCACCTGGGCCCTATGAGACAACCACTATTACCAGGGTCTCAGTATCATTCCAGAAATATTGCAGGCACAGAGAAGCCGAGGTGACATAGCACGTTTTACACTTCTGACACATGTTTTACACTAATTTGTATCCAGCTTTCCCCCACTGACAGCACATCCTGGACAGCATCCCCAATCAGAACATATAGATTGGCCTCATTTTTGAAAGGCTACAAGGACTTGCACTGCACGGCTGTGCTATGATTTACTTGACCTTTTTAATGGGCAGTTAGCTTGTTTGCTGTCACTTTCTATGACAACGCTATGATGAATATTCTCAGACACTTCCTTTTGCATGAGTTTACCTGTGGGATAAATTCCTAGAATGCAGTCAGAATAGGGCTTGACAGATATTGCCAAACTACCTTCTCAAAGGAGAGCTGTGCCATGCACACCCCATCAATAAGGTACGAGCGTGCCTAAAGGAGTAGGGGCATTTGGGAGAATTTACTGAATTTCTCAGTTCCTCATACATCTCCCTGCATAACTGGTGGACACTTAAACTGGTACAGATGTTGCTATAGCACCATATGGCACTTTCTAGCAAAATCAAACCTTCCCTTGACCAGAGTCAGAGCTGGACACCGGGTCGCTGGTGAGTAATTCAGTCACCCCTAGACCATGGGAAACCAGGTTTTAGAACTAAAACCACAGTCAGTCTGCATAGCTTCCAGCCAGACCAGGGCCCTGGGAGAGGTTACTCAGCTCCACATCACCAAATGCATCCAAACGCATCAGTGGATGGGCCTGTCACCACTTGTGCCCTTACCAATTGAACGTCATAGTGCACCAACACAGTATATGCCACCTTTTTAAAGGTAGAAAGAACACAGAGCTAGGGCTCGGCACCTGTGGCTCAAGCAGCTAGGGTGCCAGCCACATACACCTAAGGTGGCAGGTTCGAATCCCCAGCCCGGGCCCGCCAAACAACGATGGCTGCAACCAAAAAAATGGCCGGGCATTGTGGCAGGCGCCTGTAGTCCCAGCTACTTGGGAGGCTGAGGCAGGAGACTTGCTTGAGCCCAGGAGTTGGAGGTTGCTGTGAGCTGTGATGCCATGGCACTCTACCCAGGGGGATAGCTTGAGGCTCTGTCTCAAAAAAAAAAGAACACAGAGCTAGGAGCCAGGAAAATAACGTACCTACCACATGCACCCCAGATTCCCCACCTGACAACACAGAGAGTTAAGACTGATTACATATATATACATATATTTAATGTATATAGTCACTATATATTAGACCCTTTGCACAACTATTTTTTTAGTTCTCAAATCTAACCCTGCAGGGTAGGTATCGTGCTTCCACATTACAGATGAGGAAACTGAGGCTCAGGGAGGTTATACGACTTGCCTAAGGTCACCATGCCATAGTAAACAGCAGCATCAGGATTTGAACTCTGCCTCTCTCCAAAGCTCATGTTCCTTCCATGACCCCACTCTTCCCCGCTCTAAGGATGGGGTTCTGTAAGTTACAAGAGCACTGCTGCCCAGGGCTCCATTCTGTTGACACCAGAAGATTCATGCTCAGGGGCTCAGCGCACCAAGGGTTAAGGCTGAGAGGCAGCGACTCTCTGGGGCTGCACAAAGGGAAAATGCACTTCCTGCCCCAGTGGGCAGAGATGCGGCTTTATGCTCAGTAAATTAGGACGTTTGTTTAATTAAGACGACACACAGATTTTGTTATTCTAAATATTTTTGGAACATGACGCTTGGGAGGAAGCTGTCAAGGCATGGGTTTTCTTTTTTCTTCTTTGCTTTGGGTTTCTCTTTCTCTCCCTCCAAGAGAAGGGTAGGGCCGGGCTTAGAGGAAAACAACAGCCCACCCCTCCTCTCCTTTTGAAATAAAGATGTCAAGCTGGTAAGGGCTGTCTTAAGTACTTTATTGAAGGATTAGCTGGAAGAGGAAGTGAAGAAAGCACAGCCTGCCTGGTTTCTAGCAATACCCTACCAGGCTCCACAACAATGCTGCATTTTTTGAGTGTGCTTTCCTTCTTTAAAGAGCTAACAGATCCTTGTTTTGCTTTTTCTGGAGCAAGAATAGGCGAAAGGCGGTGATTACCATGCATGCTTCATCTACAATAGAGAAGTTCTCCCATCTCCAACCTCTTAGGTTAAAAAGTTTAAAAATGAAAACAAGCAAGCCAGGGCCCCAACCTTCTTTCCTCAGGGGCCCTTCAAACAGCCCCCACAAAATGCCCTTCTCCCATGGGCTGGAGAATGCCCCAAATCGGGGTGCTGATGCCTGCTCTACCAGCACCTGAATCTATCCACCTGGGCTGCCAGGACTTACTGAGTGTGAAGAGTGAAGCTCTTTGGTGTCACTCCATCGTCATCTAGGGGCACACCGGCTCTCTAATTACACTGAGCAATCTTTTGACGTTTTTAATTACTCCCCAATTATCCACTAAATGACTCTTCACTTTCTAAGGCCTCATGCTTGCCTCAGTTTGCCAAACCTGCCACATGCTCCTTCTTGGTGGCAGCTTCTCTCCTTGCCCCAAACAGAAGTGGCTCCTATTGGCCTTGAAATTCCTCAGGTCCTTTGTTTATGGCATGCTTGGGACACACATCACAGGCTGCCTTTGTATTTCAGTCATTCTGCCACTATTTCCCCTTGAGGACTGAAAACTCCCCAAGGACAGAGGCTGGGGCTCCTTTCTCCCAATCCCCATGACTCACAGTGCCTTTCTGGGGTCCCTGTCATCTCCACCTCACAGTTAGAGTCATCTACAGATTTGTCTCTGCTCTCCCCTAAGTGCCCATGGGCAGCGGCCAGGTCTTACCCAACCTCACACCCCCCACCACCACCTGGCAGAGTCTCTGGTACAGAGAGGTAGGTTAAATATTTGCTCAATTACACGTCTGTGCACCCTCCCCCATCCATAGCAGCCTTGTAAATGAATTGACTGATATTGAGTGATTTTATAAACAGTCCTTAAAACAGCCTCCCTCCTTACAAAAAGCAAACTAAACCCTCAGGTGAGGTTATCAGGCCCGGCGCAGACAGGGCCTCAGAAATGGCCACAGTGTTGCACAGTATGGAGAAGGAGCTAAGGTTCTCTTCCCCTTCAGCAGTTACTCAACAGTTACTTTGAAATCCTGTTAAACCCAGAAAAGGGCGCAGTGAACCGAGAAGTGGTTGGGCCTCTCAATTGTCCAGTCCAGAGAGCTGCCTGTTTCCAAGACCTGGGACTTCCCAGAGCCTTCTCCCTACACCGGCTGGGTGGAGCCTTGGCAGCAGCCCTGGCACTCACCCTGCCCTCCCCACCCCCTCACCCCCGCTTCAGGAGAGCCAGCGAGCTAGTTCTGGAGGGCACTCCTCTCAGTTTGAAACAGGAGGACTCCCTTGGAGGGATGGAGGTGCTTGCAGTCCTGCCCTGGGCGTGGCCCCAGGACAGGATGGGGGTGAATACCCCTGAACAGGGAAGTGGGGAGAAGAGGTGCAGAAAACCCGGATCTGGCTCAAGGAGTTAATTAAGGTGCAATAGCCAGGGCCTGGTCCTAGCGGCGCGGACGCTCCCCGCCCTCAGGCGGGCTCGGCGGCCCCCGGCGTGGTGGAATCAGGTGCACGCCTGGGCAGCCTGGACGGCTGTCGGCTTTCTGGGATTTCCTCTCCAGCAAAGGGTGAGGGGCTGGGGCTGGGGCGGGGGTGGGGAGCGGTCTTCTGCCTCACCGACCGGTCCCCGCCTGGTCCCTCTTCCCCATGCACCCACCCGCACCTCTCCTAGCTCCTCTGCTGCCCGACGGCCGGCAACCGGGCAAACGAGGAAGTGGGCAGCGAGGGCGGAAACCCAGCCCGGCGCAAAGTCTGCGGCAGGGCTGTCCGATTCTGACTCAGGAGGACGCCCTGACAGCTGCCAAACGGTCCCGCCTGCCCGTTACCTCCGTGCCCCAAATGTCTGGTAATTTGCAAAGGAGCCGCTGCCCCCAGCACCCCACCTCATCCGCACCCGTTCGGCTAGGCCCACGGGACCGCAGCTCCCCGGAAGGGGTTAAAAAGTTTGCCCAACTCGCGCCCGGGCGCGGCGAGGGCGGGGCGCGTGCCCCCGGCGCAGGGGAGGTCGGCTCCCGGGTGCCCCGTCCCGGGAATGCGCGGGGCGGGAGCTGGGGGCTGGACAGCGTGCCCCGCTCCCTGAGGCCTTGTTCCCGGCGCCCACCCCCTCGAGCTGCCGCGCAGGGCTCCAGGACCCTCGGGGAAGGATGCGGTGCCCGGGTCCCGGCCGCCCGAACTCGCGCCCGCCTGCGCAGATCGCCAGCAGCGACCAGGCCGAGAACCACACGTCGGCCCGCTCGCCCCAGACGTCGCGCGTCTCGTCGCCGCCCTAGCCGGCCCGGCCGGGGCGGAACCCGCTGGTGGGGCTCGCTCACCTGAACCTGAATCTGCCCAGGGGAACAGGCGCTGCTTCTCCCGAAAGGACTTTCTCGAGCGCTCTGGCGGCAGCGGTGTGGGACGAGCACGCGAGGCGGGAGCTGCAGCAGGTCAGCCTCGCTCAGCCTTCCGTGCCCTGCCCAGGAACCGCGGTGATCTGCGCGCCTCACCGCACCCAGTTCGGCTCCTCGCCGCCTTCCCGCCCCGCCCTCGCAGCCGCGGGCCCATTCCAAGCCCGGCGCCGGCTCCGGGGCGGAGCCTGGAGGGACGACCCGCCCCTCTCCACTACTCACCCACCCCAGCCCGCACTTGGTCTTGATGGACAGACATCTTCTCCTGTAGGAAGGGCGTGGGCGGAGCCTCTGATGGTAGAGGGGTGGGGATTCAGCCTACCCATCCATCCCCATCACCACCCGCTTCACCTTCCCCCGCGCTTCCTCGGCGGGAGCCCCGCCTCCTAGGGCGGGTCCAACGGACAGCCAGGTTTTAGGACAAAGATTGACACAGGGTAAGTTCAATCAGGAAGCGGCAGCTCAGGGTGCCAAGGGCTTTGGAAGGGGTTTTGGTACATTGCTGGGTCTCCGGCGAGGCCGGGCGGGAGCAGACCGGGAAGATCCCGGGCTCTGACTCCCCGCCCCATGAGCTGTGTTTTCTGTATCGCCTGTCATCCTACCAGAAGCAAAGCTATTAAGTACCATATAAGGGAAAAGTGCTATTTTACATAATTGTGATGGCTGTGAGGGCGGGCGTGGATTCGGTCCTGGATTCTGTTCTGGGCGTTCTGCGTTCGATTCTTGACCCTGTCTCCTCGGAGTCAGCAAGCGGCTGTCGTTCAGCCTCCCAGCCTTCGCTCTGGCGATTCCCTGTGCCTGGAATGCCCTGCCAAGCCCCTCTTTACCTTCACGTCTTTAACTCGCATACATCCTTTCAGATACTTGTTACAAATTGCACTTTTTTTTTTTTTCCAGATACTGTCCACTACAGGAGGATAATTTTTTTATTTGTTTTTAAAAATATTTTACATGTATCTTTTAATCAACCTGGAATTTATCTTGTTGGAGAGAGGAAGAAATATAACAATTTTTGTAATAGCCACGTGTCAAAACATTATTTTCTCCGCTGATTTCCCGCTGCACTGTCAGCACCTATTAAACTCTTATATACATAGACTTCAATCTGTTTCTGAGTTGTATCCATTGATCTTTCTGTGTGTCTCTTTGCCCATTTCACAAGGCATTAATAATGGCAGCTTTGTAATACATTTTATATCGATAAGGGGAAATTTCTTCCTCATTATTCTTTCCTGTTGAAATGTCCCTGCTGGCTCGGCGCCTATAGCTCAACCGGCTAAGGCGCCAGCCACGTACACCTAAGGTGGCGGGTTCGAATCCCCAGCCCGGACCCGCCAAACAAC